TTATGTACAGAGTACGTAAGATCGTATTTGCAACTCTGAGGGTGTTACTGGTTTGTCAGTAAACTCACCGCTAGATCACTGTTTCATGGGTGTTCATCACACTCGGGTTCAAGTCATGATCCAGAAGCGGGAAAATTACATTACTACTCTTATCATTAATTTACGGTGATATGTCAAAGTATGAACATCAAAAAGTAAATTCCTGTTTCCTCAAATATTGAGGAACGCCAATTTGCCAGAGAAAAGTTGTAGAAACATAAATCGGCGAATTGCATGTTTCATAATATTTGGGCAAATGGATGCTTCTGAACGTGGTTATTGCAGGAACTACGATAGTGCTTAAGTGATTAAACAATGAAATCAGACTCTAGTGATCTACTCTGTGCCAAGACCTAGGCGAATCGTGCCTCTTGCCTCCAATTTAAAATGTAGCCTCCGGTTCCAATAGACTGAATGAGGCTTTGGCGCACTCAGTCTCAGGCTCTGGCTTTGTCTGGTAGGAAAATTCTTGGAGCTAAGGAGAACTGACGCCTATTTTCTACGTGGTACATGAACATCGGATTTTGTAACTGAGGTACCGCGAAAGAAGACGCGCAGGTTGTACTGGATGAATGCCAGTGAACAGCTGTAATTCATAACACATTCTGCATAAGTACATTAGGAGCTGCTGAAGTGCATTTTGTGGCGAACGGGGTTGCTGCATTGCGACTATGGTCTGCCGATGCTAAAGTGCCGTAGAATTGGGTTTGACTATTATGGTTTGTTAGGCAATTGCAAGCAAGGGGTCCGTGGTGCAGTCCGTTGTGAATTACGGTCTCCGTTGAGTTAAACACTTATTAAGGCCAGTGACTTTGGGAAAATGATAGATCGAAAGGTAGTGAATCATGAGATGTATTATGGCAGTACTTATTACTGCACCGAAGGAGTAAACAGGCATCACAACTGGGGAAATTGTATCGGAACGAGGTTCTTATTCCTTATGATTTGCTTAAGCACATCTGTTTTCAGCGTTTAGTTTGAGGGACCAAATTATGAGGTATTCTTCCAAGGTACTAATCCTTCCTGAATGCAATCGCTTAGGCCTTGTGGCAATGTGTGAGTGCCACTCTGTGGGTAGGAAACAGAAGATTACGCACTCTGCATGTCACATATCTGCTACCGGCTCTGCCAAAAGAATGAGGCACTCCTCACTGACG